TCTCTCTCTCTCTCTCTCTCTCTCTCTCTCTCTCTCTCTCTCTCTCTCTCTCTCTCTCTCTCTCTCTCTCTCTCTCTCTCTCTCTCTCTGGGGCATGTTTTTTTTAATTAATTAATTAATTTATCACACACAGGGCGCACCTCCCTCAGCGCGCGCACCACGCGCAACGGAACGCACTGCGCACTGCGCAGAGCGCTGTCATTCCAGCGCACAGCGCAGTGTACACCGCCCCGCACCGCACTGCGCACTGATGCGCCGCAACTATGCCCTACACAAAAACATGTCCACATGCATACGTCTTTTTTTTTGTACATTAATTAGGTACGAATGTGAACTGACGACCCTTCTCTCTCTCTCTCTCCTGGTGCTCCTCTTTTTGTTTTGTTTTGTTTTGTTTTGCTTTGGATTGTTTGGCTTCGTCTGCTTCGAATTTCTGCTGCTGTCAATGAAGGAATTTCAATGTGAGATTTGTGGCAAGTACAGCTACTGGGGCCGCCGCGCTTTTGAACGACACTTCAAGGAGTGGAGGCATCAGCACGGAATGCGATGTCTCGGAATCCCCAACACGAAGAATTTCCACGAGATCACACAGATCGAAGTGAGTATATAAGTTTCTATTTTTTAATGAATTGATTGTCATTCAATCTAGTATACCTTCTATTAAAGTTCTTCCCGTCGGGTGTAACGCTACGTCGTGACCTACCCCGACCGGATTCTGCCCATCTGTGAGATGGGCCGTCCGATAAGCAGCAAATTCCCCGGCCTCTATCGATGGCTTGCCTGAAAATGCGACTGAAAAAAAGGGAACTACAGGCGGCACAACTACTCACCGCGTAAAAAAACATCAACGAAACCGGGTAAAAAAAACGTGAAACGTGATAGGCCTCGGTGCACCGCCCACAAGCTGTCCTGAAAGGCGGGAAAAGGGAGAGCAGGTGGAAGGAGAAAAGAAACACAACGAGAACAGGACGATACTGGGCCTTGACGCACCACTGACCAAATGTGCCGAACATGTTTGGTCAGTGGTGCGTTGAGGCCCAGCATCGACCGGTCCCACTTTTTTTTGGGGGGGGGAATTGTGGTCGTGCGATTTTTCAGATCAGAAGGCCAGACCCGTGAATTCTCGAAATATCAACTAAGCCCTCCCAAGCGAAGCACGACCCCGATCATCCCATCCCATTGCATATGGCCGTCGTGGTGGCTTTCTCTCTCGCTCACACACACACACACACACACACACACACATGCACACACACCACTTTTCTGAGGGGTATCATGGGTCCTGGGCGTGCGGAAGTGCCGCGTCTCTCTCTCTCTCTCTCTCTCTCTCTCTCTCTCTCTCTCTCTC